CTCAATAAAGACTTTCAAATTCATTCCCTTGCTTACCGAAAACCGAAAATTCCAGCTTCCTATGTTTTTTCTTTTGCGGATATCTTTTAGTGCTTATTCTACATACGCTTTGTTTACAACTTCATCCCTCATTTTTCTCAATCCATTAAAAGATCATTTGCTTTCATAAGGAGTAAAAAAAAGGTTGTTTTTCCATTCGCTCTCCTTCTTTACTGATGAGCTCTGTGGAGAGTACCTGTTCTAGGATTTGTTCGGTAAGCAGTTCGGGAAAAGAAGCGAAACGGAATTTTTTTGCTGTTTTCAATTTTCTCTGTTTTATTCTTGTTTTCTTCTAGTTTTCGTTCAAAATTTTCTTAACGCATGCATTTTCTAGCCTGAATGTCTAAGTTTATTGCGGAAAAGTTTCCACGGGTTTTCGGTCGTCTTTACGGGATTGCTGACTACATGCAATGGACATGGACATCTGACAGTGAAAACTTGCGCAGTCCGATGCACGACATACTCAAGAGTTATACGCTCAGGGTCAACGATGTGCTCTCTTTCCGAGCAGTTCAAGCGCAGCGCTAGCCCGTGCTGCGTTCGCGAGCATAGCGCTTAAGCGTTCAAATTTTCCACATCGATAGGAGATCACTGTGCGATATCCACGCGCTGCGGACATGCGGTTAACACAGGTAGTAGCCTTTCACTCAACAGTTTTGGCATTTGAAGGCCGGCTTCTGAGACGAGACAGGCAAAGATCAAAGGGTTCAGGGTACCTCAACCAGGGCGGCGTACAACGAGCGACTTTTCTTGGACAAGCGTGTAAGGATGTGGCTCAGGGGCCCGGGGGGCACGCTAGAATGACTCTCCTGAACCATTGTCAAGATGACGGGCCTGTCTGAAAAGATGTGCACGACTCGCATTAAGGTCCGCGGCTCTAAATAGAAATGGGAGGTGTCAGGTAAGGGCCGTCGATTGCTCGATGTAAAAACTCTGCTGGGGTGCGGGGCTCGCTTACGAGATTTTGCGCAAAGAAAAAGCGGAAATCAACGTCAAAAAAGTTTTGAGAAGGAGGAAAGCGAGATAAAATTTTATAAAAGCTTATATAGAAAAATTAGAGAGGTGAGAGCCTTAAGTTTACTAGGGCTATCAACTTTCTGAGCAGATAAGCGTCTAAATGAGGCGGCCAGCCAGTGATGCAGCAGACGCAGGGACCTGCTGATTGGACAGGAATGCACGCCTGTGATATAGTACTTATAGCGACCCGTGCATCCAAGCACGCGAGACAGATAGTCAAGAGGACTGCATGAATAACCGACTGCTGCAGATGCAATGGCGACCGCAACCATTGTGAGCTAACGAACAAACGGCCACTTCTACTTTGGCCTCCCTTATCAAGTCTATTGTTGAACTTCTTTGCGTGCAGGCAACCATGCCCATTATGTTTATCAAATGCCATAACAGCCAAAAGAAATGTAGTATGTGAACATGTTTACCAAATGCCATGGCAGCCAGAAGAAATGCATTTTGTGAACGAGTAAATCATGAAAACACGGAATAAGAATCACGACTAAATAGCTTGGCCAAAAAACCGTACAGCATCATTTGAGAATAGATAGAAAGGCACAATATAAGTACGATTATAGTCGCATAGAATAGTAACAGAAGCATCTACTTCGACTAAAAAATCAATAAATTTTCGCACAATTTGGGTGTGTCCTTTCGGATGGCAACTGGGATAGCCCGCTGACTGTAGCATTTCTCTTTTCCCTCGAAAGGCATATGAGTGGTCAAAAACAATGACTAAAAAAATTAATTCTCGAGCCAATACACATTTGAAGAATATAGTGCAGTCCTAAACGCACCATAATAGAATGATCAGCAACAAACAAGTGCAATTAAGAATAAACTGACTAATTGGGATCAGAAATCAGGGAAAGTGGCCTTTCGCTTTGTCGTAAGTGACCCTGTTACCCTTTGATTCAACTGGTGGCGGTTGGAAGGCGGGATTTCGTGACTTAAATAAGGCTAGCTTATGATCAAAGAGCACGTGCGCGAGAGAGACGCAGAATGCGTCGCAGGCGCGAGTGGCCTTAATTAGGTCATGAAGCGTAATTTTTCCATTTTTTAAAGTTTTTTTTGCCGCTGTAGGTGCAAGTCGAAGCCAATCTCACAGTACCGCATATGTTTCTTGAAAAGGCAAAGAAGATTTGAGAAAGTTACCAGGTGTAAAATAATGCATTCGGAAACCTTTGATCATTTGCTAGAGAGAGAAAGAGAGAGAGAGAGAGAGAGAGAGAGAGAGAGAGTCATGCAGCTGATGTGATGCAGTTAAATGCACGGTGGCGAAGACCACGTACAACATTACAAATATTTATTCAAGTTTTTATTGCGTGTGCTTTTCTGCAGAAAGAGTGCTCACAAACATTGTAATTGCGCACTTAGAGTGCCATTAAACGAACTTAATTTATGGACACTCGAACAAGTTTTCAAATTTAAGCTTATAACTTCTTCCAGGTAGTCGCGTAGGAGATAAAATAACGTATACTTGGATTCAGCTTTTGGAATCGTGTGCTGATGTACAGCTTCTTTAAAACAGTTGAGTTAAGTTCTAAGCATTTCCTCCTCAGTAGGAGATGTGTGTTTGTTTTGCACGGAATCTATGAAGTCACGGATTTATACAAGTTACACTTTCACTCAGATTTCCGCTATAAAGTGATCTTGATCGTTGGCAAAACTTCTGAATGAATACTTGTTTACACTTTATTTGTAAGATCACCAGTATCCTGCGATTTATCTTTTATTTTTTGTTCATACTCAACGGTTATACATGTTAGTGATAAATACCGTGATGATTTTGTCTGAGGCTTCTGTTAATCAGTTGTTGTCATATGAGCGCGTTCTAGTCGCCTCCATTGGCTAGAATCCAAACTTTTTCTTGCCATTTAGAAGCAGATTCAAAAACATTACAGTGCTTTTGTATATCGTCTTCCTAACTATCACTTGATCTGCCATCTCCAAGGCGTCGCCGAACAGGTGGTATCCAGCGTGTGAGAATTTTCGTCCATTTTCAACCGCCTTGTATTCTATAAATTTTCCCAGCAAATCGCCAAATCCTTTGCTGTGCCGCTACTACCACATCCTTCAGCTTTGTTATAGAACGAGTCCAAATTGAAGATTTGCGGCCTTTTAGTCAATATCCAAGCGTCAGCCTTTCCATTCCTCCCTGGCATCGCAGTAGTTCTAGCATCGATTTTCTAGTGGTCGGCCATGTCTCACAGTCATAAGAAGTGCAGGAAGGATGATTTTGTTGAAGTAGTGCTGTTCTAGATGAACAGCTACGTTTATGTTGGTGAGAAATCTTGAAATTGAAATCAACTCATTGAAATTCTTAATGAGTTGGTTGATAGCACATAAGTGGTCAGCAATTAAGTCTTCGAACACTCGGTTGATCTTGTTTGTAAGCTGGAGTGCAACAACTTCTACACCATACTTTGCAGCCGTATAGCGAATACCATCAATTACTGGAAAGTGTTTTCTCTAATCTTTGAAACTGCTTTCCTCAGTTCATCGACGCTGACAGGATGAGTGATAGATCGGTGACTGTGGAAACGATTACCTCGCGGGCCACGTAAAGTAGCGAAAAAAGTATTAGCGAATAATTAGGCCTTTGTAGAAGTTAGTGGTCATCGTCCCATCTGGCCTCCCCAATCGGCACACGACTTTTTGTGGACGGATAAGCTTGACCGTTTTACACGAATGTTTTCGATGGCTCGTTTTGAGACGGGATAATGTTGTCGGTAAAATCGTCCTTCATTGACCATCGCGCAGTCTTGTAGATAATAAGTTACAGATAGTAGTTACATAATCAACGTAAGAGTTTATCGTTTTCATCCGTTTTAGCCCATATTCAATCCACGTCTGAAGAAGAAGAGGTCGAGTTTTGTTAGAGATTCGTTTGAGCGGCTCGCAAAAACTTTGGGAAAGTAGCAGCGTTCTGAATGGATTTACACGATTGTTGCCAAGAGTCCACCGTCAGTCGTCGTAAATGTCGAGGATGAAATCTTGGCAAGTCGTTCATCATTAAGCAAGGATGTTTTTATTTTTATCTCACTATAGTCCGGAGGCAGGGACGAGCACGGATGTAATGTGTTTTGCGAAGATTCACATCGGCTCGAATCAGGCGGTGGTCGCTCCCGGCGTTGAACCTATTGAGAACAGCAACATCAATTATGGCTCGTCCTCGTTCCTGTCCTTTGTTGTTTCGTAACCCTTAGAATTTCTGACCCACGAACTCAGATCGCACTTTCACCTCTTACACGTGCGTTGAAATCGCCAATCAAAATATCGTGTGCATAACGCTATCGGGAATATCGCGCTGTGGAGCTCATCGAAAAATAATTCGTACTCTTCCTCTTGCTAGGGAGCGTATGCTACAGTTATTCGCAACGATTTCTCGGCAGAACAAAATGAATTTACCCTATTTTCAGGTGTATAAGCCGCACCCTTTTTGCTCTAAACGCGAGCAGACACAGGCGTGCCGCCGCGCATATGTCTCGCGAAGCGATCGCCTTATCGCATACTGCTCGCACTTAACGCGCTCCATGATGACAGTCAGTCTTTTGGCGTGTTCGCCTATAGAGCGAAAAGGGTGCGGCTTATACACCTGAAAATAGGGTATAATAAACGGTCGGAGAGGAACTTTAAGCCTGTGAATGCCGTTGTAATCGTACAAGTGCTCCAACTCCCCTGCGGTTATTAACTTCTCCGTCCTTTCGCTCGCAGTTGTAAAAGTGTAGACCAGAAGACACGCGCTTTGCATGAAAGTTGTTACTGCGGCACATTTCGCAACGGCTCACGACAAATTTCAATTTTAGCTTCTCCCCAAGCGCTGTTAGTCTTTCTTCCGATGAAAACGAACGGATATTCAAGAAACATACTTGGATCTGCTCTCTGAATCCGGCGCTTCTTAACATGAGTAGATGCCACACCGTCGGCCAGCCACGGCTTCTTCCTCCAGATTACTCTCTCCTGTTCTTCTTCTGAGGTACATAAAAGAGCCACAAAACAGCCGACTCTTCAAGAGGAGCTTGGGGAGGGAAGTGATCCTGCAGTTCTCATAATGATTTCCAGCACAACGCAAGCACGATGAAAGGTGTTGATGTTGGAAGCAAATCAGCCACTGGAAAGCATTGTTTTGGATATCTGTCGTGCGTCAATGGCCATATATCACTTCCCTATTGATAAGCTTCAAAGGGTATCAAAAACAGCCAGAATCAAAAAATTCAGTGCACTTTTTGTGCACACATGATGATAATCCAAGTTCGGAATGATGAAAAATGATTGACTGAGCAGAGAACCGTATACTTCATCGTTCAAATCTTAAGAGCTCAATCGGGATCTCAACTATTTTTGGTCACGCAATCTTCAAAACTCCTGATGCTAAACTGGTGCAGTCAGATGATTAATTCTTCAATTTTGGCCAACTAGATTCTCCGATAGTTCGACGGGTTTTCTCTCCACGAAATTTTGTGCCATTCCTTCCTTCTAGCAAAACGTCCGAACGTTCACTATCAGAGCAGCGTAGCGAGTTCCCCGAAACACTTATATAATAATAACTACATTCTTCATTTTTCTCCATCATTCCCTTCTATCATCTCATTTCTGATTCTAATTGCATAGCTCACAATGAGAGCAGTCGATGGATAGAGCAAGGGTGGGACCTGAGCTCTAAGGCTGCGTTCATACTGACTCCGAAGTTCGGGAACAGCTCCAGCACAAGGCGCTAACTGAGCGTTGTGCTGGAATTGTTCCCGAACTTCGGAGTCAGTGTGAACGCAGCCTAAGGTGCTGAGGTGCCGGAATCCTTCTGTTTGCGAGTGGTGCTGCTAATTATGGTGCAAGGAAAGGTGCTAGGAACTTCTGCCGCTCTCCCCCAAAGGTATCTATCCATCAGTGCAAAGGAATAAAAGTGGAAATCTTTATTTTACTGCAAGAGTCTCAAACTTGATCAATAATGCATCCACTATTACCCCAAATGAAAACGTTAACAGCTCCACATTTTGCAATGTGATTGATGCTTTGGAATGGTGCTGCGCCTCCAGCGGTACCACCACAGCTGCCCTGGTGAATATCAGTCTCCCACTGATTGTTCGGGGTCAAGAAGCCCTAAAAGAATAGACATCGGACAGATACTTCGGATGACAACAGCTAACCTTCAGTTCAAACCATCCATTTTCGGTCTTCGAGCAATCCATCATCAACTCCACAATCCAGTAACCTTTACCATACTTATTATAGGGTTGATATTCCTTGTCTCCTGGATCATTGCTTGAATATGCTAGAGGAGTGCCGAATGCTGCTTTACCATTGAATGATTCTGAATTGACATGTTTATGCAACAGGTTTACTAAAATTATGGTCCCTACGTTGGCCATTCTCAGGTCCCTCGAAATCTAGATAAGTGTCGCCTTGACTCCAAGCCTGATATTCTAGGAAGTTGCTGGGCACATGAGTGTTGTGCTTTATTGGAATGGCACATTTATCGTTTGCCTGCTGATATGGACCAGATGCGCATACTAAACTGGTACATAGTCACATTCGAGCATTTTTACTCAGAAGCACGAGTATCTTCACCTCCATTATTCTTGTGACTTGTTCCTCCGCGAATAAATACATATTGTCCCATAGCAGTGTCCCTCTTCAGTAAAATTACAGTTTTTGTAAAACCACGGGGGTCAGGCGTTGGCTGGGGACCAGGAGCCTGGGTTGGTGGCTTCGGCGGATCTGGACCAGGACCCTGGGTTGGTGGCTTCGGCGGATCTGGACCCGGTGACGATCCTAAAAACTCAGGACCCCTAAGAAAATTCGTAAAATATTCCACTCACCAATCCTTGAAGCAAGTGAAATTGCAACGACATTAGTGAATTGAATCTGTGCTTTTCCTGAAATAATAAATTTTACTTGCGCTCAGCTTGTTTTCTTCCTAAACCTACCATCACTTCCAACTGTGATTGTCTTTCCTGTACATTTTCCGTCTTGCACATATCCAGTCCATACATCGCAGTATTGTCCTGATGGTAGAGTGGTTTGGAAGGATCTAGAACGCATATTTTTAATTCTACACAAAATCTGCTCCATTAATCTTACCTGCTCCAAGTACCCTCTACGCTCATAGCGAAGAATCCTTTTCCTTGGTGGGCAAATGCTAATTTCTTGTATTCTTTGACCATCTATAAAATATTTGCAAAAATGATTTTTTTTTCAAAAAGCATTGGTTACCTCCGACGGTTTTGTGCCTTGCACTGTAGATCGCCATAGTGCCATTCCCCTAAGAAGTTATCATTTATGCCAAAAAAATTTTTGAACTGGCAGAATGAAAAATTATTATCCCATATGCTTTGAGTTTATTTTGCAGAAAAGCAATGATATACGCCGCATGACTTCAATCGTGCTTAGGTGTGAGGAGATGATACGCGCCCAGACGCGGGCAGGGACAAGCGACGCGGCTGCGCGAAGCCCGATCCGCGAGAGCCGGCGACACTGTCATTAGCACAGAGGCTACGTATATTATAGTACTACAATCCCAGTTTTATTTCTCCTGAATAAAATCCTTTGAAAAAATATCCCTCTACCTCACTTGTGGCCACCGATGCTCGCAAACATAGCCGGAAGACGAAGCACAAGTCAAATCTGCATTGAAGGTTGGCGACTTTGTCTGCAGTTACACATTTTTGTGGTGTCTCGCGTATCCAGCTCACCTCCTCACCTTAAATCCGTTTCCAGGGCCTTCACTTGGTGGTCCCTGGTCATTGTGGTTAAACGCGTAGCTGCTCATGACTCTCGGGTAACCGTACTGCCAACCCAGCATAAATGCGACTGCCCTTTTGTATTCATCACCATTTTTGTAGCTCAGCTATAAAATAATCATAAGTCATTTTTTTTTGTTCTTATGGTTCCATTGTCTTCTGCGCCTTTTCATCTTGTTTCACTTACCACGCCTCCTCCACTTCTCTGGTTATCATGGTTGTCAACAAATACCAAAACATCGTGTCCTTCTGCATTACCGTAACCGTACCCAGGTCCAATATTTGTCAGCTCCCTCAAAATTGTTTTTTTAACAGTAGCGGTCATTTTGAGGTGATAATTAACAGCTTACTCAATGTTGGCATGTCCTCTCGCTGCTTGCGAAACTGCTGGGCCATAGTTGAAGTTGCAGTATCTGAAATTGTTTGGATTAGTGCAAAATGTTATCTTACCGTAATCATTCCCTAATATTTACCTTCCAAGGTTTACGTATTCTGACGCCTTGATTGCTTCACCACCTCTGTCGATGACTTCATGGGCAAAGAATGCCCTCTTATTGGCGCCAAAGACCTAAAGTTTTGTATCATGCTGTTACCGTATCTCAGCCGTTACGGTAACCCACATCTTCTCTCAGATTTTTGGTTCCATCCATAATAGCCTTCAAATCTGCTGGCCACATGTGTTTCGAAGCGTCAACTCTAAAATTATTATTGATTCAATTACGAGCAGATATATTTCAAGTTCAATTAACTGACCTGAATCCAGCCACACCAAGGTCAATAAGATGGTTCAGATACCCAATGATCTTGCCTTGTACATATGACTTACTTTGGTCCAAGTCAAGTAGTCCAACAAGTCGACAGTTCCTTACCTAAAAGGGTCATTTCAACCTCAAAGGCATCGTCCACCCAAAATGGAGGTTTGCGAGATTATGATGGCATACTAGTGTGGGCCCCCACACTAGGCAAACCCCCAAGCTTCGCCGCAAAAGACTGCTTCTGGAGCGAGAAATCCGCTCCGGAAATAGCAAAGTAGGGCGGTGGATCATGGTCGCCCCGCCCACTTGCATGCTTTATCTCGCCTGCGCTTGTTGCAGAGGGTTCTCGAAACAGGGATTTCTGGGGGTTTCGCGGATTTTCGACTCCATATTCGGAATCAGGGCTTTTAGAAGGCCTGAAGGAGACAAAAACATTGAATTCTAGATTTTGGAGGGACGGTGCCTTTAAGTTTTGCCATGCTCCCTTTCCTCTTCTCTTCCTCCTCCTTCTCCCCTCCCAAATTTTTGAGATGAAACTCACTCCAGCTGGATTGCCACCATAATCGCCAGATCCGATGTTTCCTTTGCATCTGTAATCGTTGAAGTCTTGCTGAGAATAGGGGACCTGAAGCATTGCTGCATAGAATGGGTATATCCTATCTTCAGATTTTCAATACTTCTAAACAGTTAAAGGATATTGTACTTCCGTACAACCCGACCCCTTAGAACTGCTTTTTGAACCGCTTGCCATAGCGGCGCCTCTGACTAGTCAACACCTCGCTGCGACGGTCAGGGCAAAGCAAACAGGGGAACCGAACGGGTTGCACGCATGCTTGTGCGTTCACTCTTGTATATCTATCGTAATCAACTCGTTAATAGGTGGTTATACAGATACTTTGTATTCATTGGCGTATGGTGCCTTTCCGTTGGCTGCTTGATGCAACTCGCTCACTTTCTCAGCGGCGCCGCATGTCGCGAAATGAGTGTCGCGCATGAATACTTCAAAGAACCTACATTCTTCGCCCCATTTTCCTTACCTCTGGGAAGCTTTCTACGCCTTCCGTTGCATCAAAGAATGAACCGCCACTGCTGTCTCTGGTAGCGACTCCTTTTTTCTGTGCAACTCCGGACATGTGATTGATGACAGCATCAACAACGATTCTGAGAGTGACGAAATTGATTTGGGTAACTAAACACACGTGGAACGACAGTTTACCTCACTCCAACTTTGTTACACCGCTCAACCATATCTTTAAATTCTTCCTCGTTACCACTACGTGAGATCAGTTTGTAACTGATTGGCTGGTATCTGCACGAAAATAAAAATTTCTCAGGAATGTAGAGTGTGAACGGTATGAAAACCTACTACCTGACCCACCACGGCATATCATTATTTTGAATCAATGTTATGTGCTCCATAGGTGGAGAGACCTGTGATACACAGCTTTTTATACTATCCTTTTTTTGATAAATTTATTTCAGCGCAAAATCCAATATTTACCTGTACAGCTCCATATCCGAAGTACTGTAAGAAGTTTTCACATTCTGCAGCGATATCCTTCCATTTCCACTCGAACAAGTGCACCATCACTTGTCGATTATCCAGTGTGTGAGGTTCCTCATATCTGAATGTTTGAAAACGATGGAGATACTTGATAGTCATTTGACTTACGGGTCAGCAGCAACGGCTGTTAGCAGAAGCCATGGTATCAAATTTAGATTACCCATATCTGCAAAAAGCTTGTTCTTATTATCTCGTAAGTCAAATTTTTAACTAATGCAAGATGGTCTCTCAGAATGCAGCGGATTGCATCTTGAGCAGGTGTTACTATTTACACAGGATAGTGTGTTTTATGATAAGTGGATGGAAAAAAGGTTAACAGAAAGTGGTGCTTTTTTATAGACCTTTAGATTGCAAGTGTACGAGATCATCATAATGCGAAGTAATTAATGCTACCCTTTGATTCAACTAGCTTGGCGGCTAAAAAAACCAAAAAAAAAGAACCTAATTTGAGGCCTAATGATCAGAGAAGCACGCGTGCGGGAGAGACGCAGACTGCGTCGCGGGCGCGAGCGGCATTAGTTAGGTCACGAAGCTCCGCCTTCCAGTCGACAAGCCTGTTCAAACAAGCGGTTGATTGGTCCCTTACGTTCAAACATTAAGCTCGGACCGAAGCATCAGGAGTGCGCGAGTCTATGTAAGACGAAACTAAAGCTGTAGATCGTGTGCTGCCTTTTATAAAGGCTGACCAAATTCTTGATAGAAGAGGTCTATAGTACTTTGTGCGGTATCATTGTAAAAAGACAGTACTTCGCCCCGTTGCCGAAGTTTGGACGGCTTTTCCCGTCCTGTCTTGCTAAAAAAAAAGAAGAAGTGCCGGATTATCATATCTAAAATGAGATTAGTATAAAAAACTATAATCTTATTAAATAAAGTCTGGAGACAGTTTTTTTCCTTGCTCTTATCAGTGACAGACACCATCCATTATTAGATAACACAATGTAGCGGAATCTTGTGCGTTATCTAGAATCTTGTTGTATCTGTACGAACTGCCACGTAGATGCGAAGCGATTTCATCGCTGAAACCGATGCTAGAATTTGTAGAATTCTTCATGTGCATCTCAAAATAAAATGCATTTTTTACAGGTCATGCAAGTCTTAAGAGTACTGTAAGCTCTTTCATTGAAACCGCTTCATCATTTCGTCGATATAGAACACACAACGCGCAAACTCGTGCCTTTGGTACAGTACTCAAATCCTAGCAGTTTGCCCTATACTTATCTGAAATAATCGCAAAGGAATGACACGCCTTCCTACCAATGTTTTGCATATGTTATGTTTGGATGTTTAGAAAGCACATTTGCATCAGAAAATCTTGAAGTTCTACCCTTTATTCTAACGGGATTGTCGGCTGAAAGGCGACCGCTCGTACCCGCGACCAGTCTGCATCTCTCTCGCGAGCGTGCTCTCTGATGATTTCCTAGCCTTAAATGGGCCTCGAAGTCTCGCTTTCCAGCCGCCAATCCCGTTGAATCAAAGAGTAACAATTTGGCAGAAGACTCTAAAACGATTGACTTGATTCCGTTAACAACGAGACATAGACAGAAGGCCAAGAACAACTTTTTATAAGTCTATCCCTCTAAATATTTATTTTCGATATGGCCTGTAATGAACCTCAAAGTTTTTTCGATTTCTTTTCGTATACTGCGATTTTCAAAATTGCTTTGATCGAAATTGTTTTGTATGACCTCAAATGAAAAGTCATAGGCCGTGACTAAATCTTCACATTAGAGCTCAAATATTGAGCAATATAGTTGCTCCAGGACTTTGAAATATCACGGTGAGGAGCTTGAATGGAACGTACTCAGTTTGGGCCTGAAAGATAGAATTTGTTTTATGAACTTGTCCCCGTTCCTCTTCAAACATGTTGAAATGTCTGAAAAGCGTGTTGCAAAGAATCCGCAGTCCTATGGAGCGAGCGCAGTCTTTGGCCTCAGAAAATGATCAAACGCTTAATCAAGGGGATCCTGCAAATACAGGGTGCATTCTGCAGGAGTGACTAATACATCAGAAGAACAGATGTTACGGTGCACCTGGCATAACAAATCTTTTGTCTTGTAGATGTCTTTTTCATACACATAAATCCACTTTGACAATAATTTTCTCTATTACGCGCAAGTAGGAGGGTGATGGAATAAAAGTTAGCGCCACTTGCAGTTGCCTTTATGGCTAAGATCGAAGCGCCAATTCTAGAATGCTGTGCATTGTATTCCAGATACATTGACGATTGTTTCGTAATTTGTTCAACTCAAGCAGAAGTTGACAATTGCTTTGAAATACTTAACGAACAATCTCCATACATTAAGCTTACCAGGAAAAGGCTCAGCGATGAATGGTTGCCATTTTTGTATGTGCAGATCAATATTTTCTTCAGCACGTCACAAAATGGTATACCAAACTAAGTAATAAAAATGTGTTTGTTCACTTCAAGTCAACTCATTCGCGTCAAACAAAGAAGGCAGTCATTCAAAATGTATTCTGCACAGCCCTTCGTGTTTGTAGTGGACAACAAGAAATAGAATCATTTGCGCTTGCGCGGAAATCGCTGCCTTTAATGAATACGAAAATCGTGCCAGAACAGCGAGAAGCGGTGAAAATCCCGTACTCAGGTGGACAATACGCGCACAGCTGAACAGTTCCTACTTTGCATCTCCTATATCTCCGATGAAGTACACTGCTTTCGACAGTGCTTGAGGAAGTACGGGCTCTAATATACAGTTACGATTGTGGAAATATCCCCCAAATAATCTTCAGAACATTTTGGTGTACAATCTATCTGTGATCGCGGCTGCACTATGCCCAATTGTATAAACTGCCCTGTGAGCAGGAACGGGGATTGCATGGCGATGGGGGCCGTCTATTTTATCACCTGCGCGAGCTGCGGTGACGAGTACATAGGCAAGACAGCACAGCCGCTATGTGTTCGCATAAGAGCACTTAGACGGCAAAGATAGATCACAAATCTTCACCCCCTAGGTACTCACAGGGCGCTAAAACACGCGAGACAAATTTCGAAGTCACAGTGAAAATCTTAGCGCATGAATCACAAACACGGCTCGCGAATCAAGGAAGAATGCCCGATTATGGCACTTGAGTTCGCTCCCTAGTTGGGTCAGATTTTTTGACCCGGCGGAGAAGTTATAAATAGCCGTGGCATATGCGTTCAGTCACTTGACGCTCGCTCTGGCAATAGAACTCTATCGGCGTTTTCAAATTAAACTTTTTCACTCACCGTCTCCGGAATCGAAAGCATCTGTGTGCATTTCACCCCAATCGGTTGAGCAGTGGGCGTTTCTATAACTCACATACCTCCTAATAGACAATTTTTGAGTTTTATATATAGAGAGATTACAGAAGTACTAGTTGTACTCGTCAACGTGAGTGCTTGGTTAGGCAGCTAATTACTCGTTTACCGAAGAGAGTTTTGTTTGCATGGCTGAAGAGAGTTTGTTTGACATTTGATCGAATAGTTTGCAAGTCGTGTTGATATCGTAACTGTGAGTTCCAGGCTCTGAAGAAGGCAACTTGCCGGAACATCAGCCAATGAACTATTAACAATTTCGGGTCAAGGTTCGGAACCACAGTTACGATATCAACACCATGTCGACATTCATAGAGAGTCGCACGTTCCATCTTATTGTTTTAATCCTGCCGCTTATTTGGAAAGCGTTTTTTTATTGGGGCTAAGTCAGCCAGCTTTTGCCCACAAGTTCGCTGGCATTCAAACAATGGTATATACTTTACTATTTCAGAAGCAGCAAATTTTTTTATTCAATTATCTATCTCGAAATTGTATTCGTATCATAATATCTTTTCTTGGAAGCGATTTATGTCAATGAATTAACATATGAGCGAAGTTTTGCGGTAATTGCAGCTTTTACATCCAGGGACAGCAACTTTGGTTAGCTAGTTAAAAACTGTTGTCTTGTTGTTGAGTGCTGTCTTTTTTGCCTTGCTGAGGCAAAATATGGCTCAAACTCTCTACAAAGTTCCTACCGTCATTTTACGCTAATGAAGAGCGAAAGATGATTTGCTGTGCACTACAGATGCATAGCTCTACTAAATTGTGCATAAAACGGCTGAAGGTATCGAAGCATGAGATTTAGCATGTCTTACTAGACATTGTGTTATATTTTCGGTACACTGTTCGGTAAACTTGGTGCAAGATTTTAGTGATAATCTGCTCTAAAACTGCGAACTTTATACTCACAAGACTCTTGTTGATGAATGTAATAAAACCTTGACAGCGACTGATACTGATTGGTGGCAATCCCTCCATTTTTTAGAGTTTTTCTGCGGCAGACTTCGGTCGTCAGCGGTACTCTTTTTGATGTTTCTACCTTGAGTCTGCAGTGCTAATAAAAGATAAGCTTCGCACTGTAGATGCAAGTCAAAGCCAGCCTTATAATACTGCACCTTGAGTTCCTTAAACAAAAAGGAGGCGAGAGGCTTACTTTATTAATTATTTGTTGTAAAGAGGTTTGCTGCGATGGAGTTTTCAACGTAGGCAACGGCAACTGGCACGGACTGGCGAGGGACATACTGATGTGATGATAATTGATTTGTTGGAGATGCATGTTTGTACAATTGTTCACATAAAAATTACGAGGCCATGCGTTTATTCAAGCTACATTACATCTCTTTTGTAATGATCAGCCTTATTCATTAAGATCTAGAACAGATTTGCGCACTATTTCTGCACCATGATGGTGCAGAAATAGTGCAGAAATCGAAAGTCTTGACGCAAGCACGATGAAAGTATATTGATATTGGAAGCAACAACTTTTACGAAACACAGGTTGGACGTCTGTTTTATTTTCATGCGTCAGTGGCCATATATCAACTTTGGTTATTAGAATTTGAGGTGTACTGACATCGACCGAAATTGGAGATTTTAATGCACCCTTTGTTTGAAAAGGCTGCATATTGATTTTGCATCACCTTAACACGTTTCGGAATGGTGCAATGCATGGTGCTCGCGCGCCTTGCTTATGTTCTTTTGTTTCATGCGCTAGGTTCTTTTCACGGCCCAGCAATATCAAGTTGAAGGCCGAACTTTCACTATAATTGTCTGGAGCTGCGAGTAAGATTTGTTTGAGATAAACAAGGTGGCCTGTAAAGTTGGGCTTTACAACTTCTAGTATATCTTTTTCCTGAGTTACCCTAT